TCTCATAGGAAGAATGCAGGATGGACTCACAAGGTTCAGAATCATTAGTCGTCCGGACACAACTCTCGTACTTCGCCGTGATCTCCCCCCGGAGACAGATCCCACCCCTTCAAAACTGTCGTAGATCGCATGTTCTGCATCTGGAGCGAAGAAAAGTGAGACCAGTCTCAGAGTGTGTTGAGGTGGGAGACGAGATGGAGGGTAGAGTCCCTCTGGACGTTGCGATCGGAAAGACTGCGGCAAGCTGCTTGCTGGTGAAGACGTTGCTGATCGGGAGGGCTTCTGCATAAAAGCGGTAAGAAACATCAATATTAACCACAGGAGAAGCCACTCACCCCGCTTAGGATCTTGGCCTTCGCATTACCAATAAGTATCCGAGGACACAACCTCGAGAGTAGTAATCCAAATTACTCGCGTTCTGATTCAAAGGCTTCGAATTCAGTCGATGTCAAAGAAGAGGGAAGAAGACTAAGCAACACGGTGGCTATACGTGGATTGTACTCGCAAGGCGCCGCTAGGCACGGCCACCATTTGTCTGTGCTGCAACGTCGGGATCACAGCCGGTGCACCCGTATGCCCAGAAATATTGGAAAAGCCGCGAGGCTGCTTGTGCATCTCGACAGTTACATCATCACCAGCTGGGCATCGAACAAATGTCAGCACGCTATACCGGCCGGGAATGGGAAATGAAGGGGTATGTTCGACCTGGAGGACGCCCGAACTCGCTGCAGTGCCCGTGTTGCAGGCAAGGTCCTGTCAGAGCGATGGCATGCGCATACATCAATCAGGTCACCGAGTCAAAACAAGCGAGAAGGAACAGATTAGTACGGCACTGTCAACGCTTGTAAAAGGCGAGCTGCTTGTAGGCTTGCGGACACTGGACGAGTCAGCATCTTGTCGGCATCGACACTGTTGATCCAGAGCTGCTGGAACATTGAGTGCACAGAGGTCGCGAAAATCACCGTAGCGATGTAGAGTCGATTTTTCGACGGGACAAAGAGCATACATGTGCATGTAACTATTGAAAAGGTCATTACCAGTGAGGAGCTCTAGTAGTAGAAGAACAGTGTACGCTGGGGACGAGCAATTTCAAAGGAGCAGGTGAGAACCATGAGTAATTGGGAACACGTAATGCCATCACGCCATCACTTTTTTTTGCTCTGATTCCCACGCGCAAGGCAGGTTGATATATCCTCGTTCTATAAATAGAACTCGGAACCCGTCGTGGAGACAACCCAAGTCCAATCCACAGTATTACTAGTAGTACCATCACCCAAGAGGCCAGCCAAGCTTCAATGTACTTCACTTCTTCAATAAATTAGAGAGACAACGACCAGAAAGTACAACGCCCCAGAGAGCCAGCCTCGGTAACTTATCAGGGCAATAATCCACTCATGACGTCCTCGCCTGCTTCTTCGCTGTCCCAATCGTCGTATTATTCACCTGCGAAAAAAACGAACCATGAGTATACTCAACAAGGCCATGCATCGGGGAGAACGTGTTCATACCTTTGTGGCGAACCGCAGGGACGTGAGCGACTCGTTGAGATGCGCCGCGAGGGGAGAGAGGTTCAAAAACATCTACAGCGCAAGGTCCTCGTGAGCACATTGCAAGAAGGAAGACGGGAGGCAAGGGACATACCAGCGTCTTCGAATTTCCACTAAGCGAGTTTTGCAGCAAATACGTCAACTACCCCAAATCAACTCAGCCGTCTTTCAAGTAACAAAGAAAAAGCACCCTCACCTTGGAATTCCTATACGGTATATGCTTCCCCTCCGCCCCCACCCCACCCGCCCCCCTCTCCCCCAACGCAGCAATAACATCCCCAAGCGCACTCAAGCTCTTATTAATACTCTGCGTCTCCCTCAACCGCTCCTTATCCGCCCCGCCCGCCGCAAAGCTCACATTAAGCCTCTCGCTCCCCGCCAGGTCCACCAAATTCAGACTCCCCTCGCACGCCCCTCCTCCCCCCTCCCCGGCTCCGGTGCTGACGCCCCGGATGCGGAGCGTGAAGACGGAGTGCGAGCGGGAGGAACGCTCGTTCATGAGCGTGGCGGCGACGCTGCGGCGTTTCTGCGCGAGGGCGAGGAGGGTGCGGACTTGGGCGGCGGAGTGTAGGGGGACGACGGTGACGTCGGTGACGCGCGTCGCGCCGGTGCGGGCGTCATGCTTGACTTCGTGCTTCTTCTTGTCAAAGTCGTGTGCACCGAGGAGGTCGTTGATGGTTTCGTTGTACTGTTTTGGGTTCGTGTTAGTTGGGGAAGGGAAGGGAAGGAGTAGGGGGAAAGGAAGGGACGTACGATCTCGAGGAATTGGCCCTCCATAGTGTACTCCCAGCCCTTGCTCTTCATCTGCTCGGCCACGCGGAAGACTTGGTCGACGGCGCGGGGGATCATGCCCGAGTTTTCTTCGGTCTATGGAGGTATCAGTAGAGGCGTACAAAGTAGATAGATTCCACGTACTGGACCACCCTCCATCGTATATGACTTGCCAGAGCCCGTCTGGCCATAGGCAAAGATACAAACGTTGTATCCATCCGTGCAACTCTGAGCAAGCTGCGAGATCTCGTCGAAGACTTCTGCCTGCGTAGCGCTAGGCTCGAAGACCTGAAATTATGTTAGCACAATCCATAGGTACGCGTAAAAGATAAAGAATGAAGGAAGGAAGAACTTGAGCTACGGTCTGTCGACCATGCCCATCGAAGCAGAGACGAAAGAATCCCGTAAACCACAGATATTCGCACACACCTTGTCAAACCCAAAGTTGTACACCTCCTTGCGTTCCTGGCCCGTCGCACTCTCGCTCGACGAAGCCAAAACAATCTCCTTGTGATCCCGCTTGTCGGGGAACGTCATGTCCGCCTCTTCTTCAGCATCCGAGGGCAGCACCGGTCGTACACGGCAGAAAACGCGAATGTTGCCCTTGAGTTCCTGCACCATGTTATGCAGCTGCCTCCGCACGATCTCGCTCTCCATCACCTCCTTCTTCATCTCCTCCACGTCCCGCTCCGCACCCTCCAGTTTCGCCGTCAGCTCCGCAACCAAACGCGTCTGCGCCTCCACCTGCGCCTGCAGAAGCTGATTCTGCGTCGTCAACGTAAGGTGCGCCGTCGACTGCATCGCCAACGTCGCCTTGAGCGCCGACACCGCATCCCTCTCCCGCTCCAAATCCCCCCGACACAACCTCAAATCCTCGCCCACCTCCCTCGCCTCCCTCGCCCGCTGCTTCACATCCATCTCCAGGTCCATCACCTCCCTCGCATGTCTCTTCTTCAGCGCCTCGATCTCGTCCGACGCGTGCACCAGCTCGCGCCGCTGGTTCAGATCGTGGTTCCGCGCGGCTGCGAGCTCGCGGGAAATGACGCTATGGTTCTCCTGCAACTCGGCGACTTTGGCGCGCTCGGCTTCCATGTCCTGCGCGAGACGGGCGGCATCGGCGGCACGGGCGGATTCGATGGAGGTGAGCTGGGTTTGCAGCTCGGTGAACCGTTTGTCATCGGAGGAGCGGCCGGAGACAGTGCGGGAGCGGGAAGGCGGGGGTTGTGGCCGGCTTGTGGGAGGGGCACTTGTGCCTCGGGTGGATTTTGTGAGATTGGGGGCGCGGGGTTGGGTAAGTTTTGGGGGGAGTTGGGAGGGGCCGGGTTTGGGGCCGGACCTCATGAGAGCCGCGCCGGGTCTTGCGAGGTTCGGTGCTGTTCTGGAGGTTTGGAGTGTCCTGTTCTGATTGGGTCGGCTTGCACCAACCGCACCGATGGCGGGCAGTTTGCGTGGCTGGTCGAGAGCCTCGTCGTCATCGTCGTCATCGTTGGCCTTGCGTTTCCGAGTCTGCATGGAGGGGCCAGGTTGTGTTGGGGAGGAGTGCAACCTTGGTAGCCGAGACGCCATGACCATGTGGTGGCTTGAGCCAACTTTTGAAAGCAAGAACATCAACAGTCGCGTGGGTCACGTGAGGGCGTTCAGTCACGTCACATCGAGTCCTTCCAGTTTCCTCTCCTTCCTTGTCGATCTCCAACGGTCGTCTTAAATCTTTCTCCGAGCGTTACAAAACCCGTATACATGGAGGCGCGAGCATGTATCAAAAAATTAGGTCGCGTAAACCCCGGATGCAAAGCCTCTTCTCCACGAGGAGGACATCGATCGTCTCATTCTCACACACGAACATAAGCCCGCGCAGGTTTCCTCACTACGAGAGAAAAAAAGTTGGACAGCGGGCGAATTGCAGTGTCTCTATGAACGAGGAGAGATGCTCCTAGTACTAGCCCCTGGTCCGATCGGATGCAACGATCGAGGGTCCCTTCATACTGGACAACAACGCGGTGAGTCCTACTTATCTTTGACACCGCGATCTCCTCCACTCGGGAAGACTCAGGATCCCTAGTTACCTACTTAAATGAGAGGGTTAAGTAGACACTGTGGGGAGTCTGCGTTCGCTCATGAATGATATAGTGTCGAATCGAGTAGTATCGCAGAATAACAGGGCGAAATCAACCAAGAAAATCAATGACTGAAAGACGGCGAAGTGACTCCAGCTGTTGGATGAATGTTTGTGATAAAACCATGACGGACAGGAGAGTAGGATGTATGACAGCCTCGTCCCAAGTAGACAAGAATCAGCAATGGCGCGGACGCCGCCGAGTTGCTGAACTTCTGTATACAGTATGAAATGTGTAGCCTTCGGGATAGAGCGCAAAGAAAAAAAAGTTGTTTCATTGACATGATAATGAAAAGTACACTGAAGGGGAATCGAACCCCTGCCGCTTGCTGGATACCTGGAGTTTTTATTATGGAAGGCAAGCATGATAACCACTTCACCATCAGTGTTGATGAGAGCCATCGAGATTGCAAGATCATCGTGATAGTATACTGCAGTATGTACGTAGGCCAGGGTAATAGGTATGCAATTTAGGAGCGACGGAGACAGGTCATCAGTACGCAGAGGATATAATTTCGAGGTAAAAGAAGTAAGAGCACGGACCCTCTTCCATCCACAGCAAAAGTACATACACTGAAGGGGAATCGAACCCCTGCCGCTTGCTGGACATCTCAGAATCCTGTTTGATGGAAGGCAAGCATGATAACCACTTCACCATCAGTGTTGACGACACCGACGGAAGTTGGAAATCATCATAATAGTGAACAAGTGCGGGGAACGAACGAACAGAAAGTATCAGCGTACAAGAAGATGCGCGAAAAATGAAGGGTGCGATGACGCCCCTTCAATTCCCCATCCCAGTCCTCGGATCCTACCCCACTCGCAACAACGAACAAGGCCTCGGGGTCGTATTTCGCTTTGATCCGACGTAGTCCCAGCTTTGGACAGCTCCAGCGTAAGTCATGCTGCATGATTGACATGGGAACAGCGCCTGCGTATAGCCCAAGTCTAAACTCTTCAGCTGGTTATTATGAGCGATAGATACTTGCCCCCTCCGTAGCCATAGGAGGAAGGCTGATCGAACTGGGTGCCATACACCTACTGTTTTGTGGTTTAGAGCGCAGGGCGATTAGTTACAAGGCAAACCTGTCCCGTACCTTGCGTACCTCAAATTAGAGCCCAGATGGACAACTTTCTGCGCATACGATCGTAATGCAAGATCGAAATATTAGAATCGATGAATTACCCTGCACCAGGCGATATCGTGCCCGAAGCATTGTCAATTTGAGTGATCGGCCTACATCTCCTGAACGGCGAGTGAAGGAGGATCAGTAATTTCGACATCCGATTTCATTGCAGCGCGTCGTGAACTGACCTCGATGCAATGTCCGCAATTCGGAAACAGTACCTTGATTCTTGCTCGATTCAAGAGTTGGAATCTCGTCGCCGTGGTCGGAACCTCTAGAGGCTTCACAGGCTCTGATTTCTATGGAACCTAGAACAATCCGAGCTAGGGAAAGAGCCTTTGGTACGAGATGTTCCCCATTAACCCGCGAAGGTTTGGTATAGACTTCGGAGAATATGAAAGGGTTGAAGTTTGGTGGCTATGTTCAAGGTATCTCAGATTATCGTGTCTTTATTCCCACGATCAGATCCAGCCTGGCGACCACCAACAGCCACCAACTTGGTGACCTGCTGGGGCCCGGTGCAAATGCTCAATGATTCTGCTAGTGCACGCGTCGTAAGTTCTCATATCCTCAGATGTAGTATGGATGAGTCTTTTTGACGCAGAAATTCAGGAGCAGGACGCCATGAAGTGAACTCTGACATAGGACATACATAACTTTGACGACTACATATGCATGACGAGCTCGAAGTTGGCTCGAACCGTTGCAAATGGCCTGCCTTCTTAGAACCTGGTGACCAGTGGAGAGATATGTCTCAATGCAGGGGCGAGTAATTCTGCACTTCTTTGCTGCTTTGACGTCGATTAAAATGTCTCTTACAGGCCCAAGTGTCGTTGAGTGCTGGCCTGGCTGCTTTGACGTTGGCCAAAGCACGCCGGTTGACCGTCGCGCTTTGCCTTATACGATGGGATATAAGCGACGGTTTCTACTGCAAATTGTCGAAGCTCATAACCTCGCTCCAACTCTTTCTGCCCCACCGCACCACCTCTCCAGCAATAGTTCCTACCATCGTGCAACATGCCACGCAAGGAGAAATCGGACAGAATTCCGCGCCCGCCTAATCCTTTCATTCTTTATCGTTCCGAGATGGGCCCTCGTCTACCTCCTCCTTCACCTCCTGGGACCCGCAGAACACAAGCGGAAAACTCACAGATCATCGGTACACTCTGGCGTAACGAGCACCCCGCGGTGAAGGCCGAGTTTCAACGGCGCGCTGCTCTCAAGAAAATGGAGCACGAAGCCATGCACCCAGACTACCGGTACAAGCCGAGAAGTAAGGCGGAGAAGGAGGTGGAGAAAGAGGCGGCGAAAGAGTTGAAGGCGTTGGCCAAGGCCCAGAAGGCGAGGATTCGGGGCCAGCCCCAGGCGTCTACTTCAGCGGCTGCTTCGACGGTGCATCCCCTTGGCGTCGACCAATCTCTCTCAACGTCCACTGCTAGCTTTCAGAATGCCCCACACAATGCTTATTATGCTGCCCAAGTACGTCTGATCTTCACTATACCTCTACGCGCATCTTTTCTGACATAGTTAACTCAGCAATACAGTGCTTCATTCGATACGGTAACTGGCCACCAGCCCGACGCTTGGCATCAGCAGAGCTACTCCAATTTCGAATACGGTTTCGATGAGGTATCCGGGACCACTGCTAGCAGCGACGATTTCTATCAGCAGCAAGCGTCATTTGGCGGGCCCAGTATGCCGCAATCTTGGGACTTGCGCTTCGATCCCTCGGTCGATCTCGCAGCTTATCAGGCAGCATTCGATGATAGTCAGACTATCAATGGTGGGTGTGGGACTTGGGACATGTTTTAGAGACCCCATCGAACACTCAGCGGACTCCGACTCACAAGTTTTCGGCCCTTACTGGATACCGGTACAACCTAGTAGCATAGACATTTCTTTATTGACATCGTACAAGACATGGGGTCAAGGTATAAACCCGGGGAGGGTTGCGAAATTAAGACTCGTTATACTTGTCGTGCGATTCCCGAACTCACGAGCCTCGCTTTGGTAACCTTGCTCTGACACGCCGTCCCTCCCATACAAAGTATCGATATAGGAGTTCCCAACTCTTCCCTCAGCCTATGAGGTCTTCTTCTTGACGTTGACATGCTCGTCATCGGTATCCAGGATATGCTTTCGAGGATTTTCCAGACACTTGACGAGGGCTTCTAGTTCAGCACGCTTCTGCCACTCCTCCGTTATTCGGGACGCTTTCCCAAAGCTGACAAACGAGACTCGAGAATGTGCCTCCCGTTCTAGGCCTTCGTCGCGCACGATGATGTCGTGCAGCGAGAACTCCGAACCATAACAGTAGTCAGCGGCGTGAATTCGCTTCAGACCCACTTGAGCTTGGAGTCTGTTATCGTTGTCCGTTAATAAGGAAAATTAAGCAAACAGTAGTGTTCAGACGTACGAAAGTCCTTGCGGGATCTTGCGCTTTTCCTCCCATACATCGGCGAGCGATTTCGTACCAACATGTTCGAGAACGAGCGCCGTGTAAGGAAGTTTGTTGATATGCGGAGTATCGTCTGATCTAGCACGCCTGAAAAGGCCAATAACCTCCGGGATGCAGGTCACACCATCGGCTGCTAAGTCAAGGTACACTTTATGTTCGTACTCTATCATTCGTGCAATGAGAGGGTGGTTTGTGTTTTTCACGACCACAAACGGGGAGAAGCGTCCTGGGATTTCACAGAAGTGCCTACCGGAAATTTTGAGGACTCCTGTAGATGTGTGCTGTTGGGCAGGGATAGTGATCGAGATGGATGAGTCTGAGAAGGCTGTTTTATCTGCAGCTCTGCCGACATCAGGGGAAGATATGCGCGAATACGGCGAATTTGGAAGGAAGGAAGCAGGTTGGTCCTTTTTGTCCTGCGCAAGCAGCACGAGAAACGGACGGGCGCGCACTTCTGCAATTATAGCCTATTGCGATGTCAGTAAAATACCCATACGGACATCCGGGAACATTACCTCTGGGGGTAAAAAATTGATCATATGGAGATTCTCGTAAGGGTTGATTTTACACCAAGTCTTAAGGTGTAATCCATGTCTTAGCTTTGCGGAGCGATCCTTGGCGTCTCGTATAGCGGCGATAAATAATCCCGTAAGGACTTTTGCACGACCCGGAGCGTTAGTCCGGATGATGTCGGTGATGTACATTGCGTTCTGCCCTCTATCCCGTCTGAAATACATCTCGTACTTGCCAGCATTCAAGCATCCGAAGGTCGTATCATGTTTAACCATCTCAGCGAAAGTCTGCAATAATTTGAGGTAAGTAGAGGTGTCCGAAAACGTTCATTTCCCTTACCTGTTGCACTATATGTATTCCGTGTGTCAAATGGAAGTTTTTGATTTTGTGTAAAGGTTCAGGAAGTGATGGTTCGTCGTGGGGAGGACAGAGAGCACCTTCAGGTTCGGGCCATGCCGAGGGGCTAGCATCAGGGCCCAGCGGTGACCATGTCGTCAAGGGCGCATGAGCATCTGTCGAGTGCTGGAGGGTGCAGAGATCGAGACTTCCTGCGTCGCATCCCACCCACGCGAATTCCTCTTTCCTAGCGAATCCCAAGATAGCTTCGAAAACCTCTATGGAGCCCGCCACCAAGCTCTTGAACTCCCAAACCCCCAGAACGGGAAAGTCTTCTATGATCTGGGAGTAGACCTCAGGAAGGGGTGGTGGCGGCTCTTTGCCGGGGATCGCCACAGGAGCAGCTACTAGCTCGAGAATCCCATCTGCGATGGCATAATTCTCGTCCGATCGATGTTGGGTCGTCCATTTAAAATACGAATCATACCATCCGGGTAGATGGAATTCCAAGGTAGAGGCAACGACACCACAATGACTCGCCATGGTGTGTAGGTAAACCTCTTCGATGCTTTTTTCGTTTAGAAGTTTGGAGTGCTCAGAGCGGCGAAGGGCTTCGTTCCTTTTTGTGCGTCTAGGGAAATAAAACCTTTTATCCAAGGTGGAGGGAAGGGGACGGATGGAGGTATAATCCATCAGAGCCTGATCGGCGATGGTTTCCAGGCTTGTGACCAACGAAGGCTTATAGATAACGCGTTTGAGGATGAGGTGGTCCTCAAGATGTCTGTCAAAACGAGCGGGTGGCCTAGTAGTTCTGGAGGAGCTGTGGTCCTTATGCGGTACGAATGATGGGAGGGAATATTCGAAGAATTCTCGAACACGATCCAAATCTGTTTCGAGGGGCGCGGGCTGCGAAAATTCCTCCTGTTTGATGTGGCGACTGGGCTCTGTAACGGGGGCCATGGCCAGAGCGTAAAACTGGTGATCGTGGCGGAGTGTGTGTGGCAGGCTTTAGAGTAGTTGAATAGCGTAAGTCGACTTGGTCGTAACGTCTCCTTTTATACAGCATCGAAGGAGTCAGGTGAAGAACAAGATACATCCAGGAGAAGGAGAACAACATCTCGGGAACGTTGATTGATGGGAGGAAAGAGGGCTAGCTAGGACCGTGCGTCGTTAGCGACAGACTTGGGGTGGTGAGTAGGTTAATTGTATGTAGGTCAGCTGTATGTATCC